CAAATGGGCTACTGCAGAGACCTTTTCTAGGTATTTGTGCCTTGTGGACTAGAATGCAACATGCCCTTAAACCGCAAGTAGGCTACTGCATGATCTTAACCGATTTTGGATTTCATAGAAGAACAATAGTTCAAGGCAAAGATAAACATCTTGCAGAAAAATTTCTCACTTGTGTGTGGGGGGGAATTATTTGTCTACAATAAAATGAAAGCTAGGACCTGGGAGTAGAGATGCCAAAAATGAAGGGGATAGGCGCTTCCTGGTCCAGAGTGACAAGAGAAGAAGAGATTGGATTTATACCCCGCCCTTCACTACCCAAAGGAGCCTCAGAGCGGCTTACAAACTCCTTTCCCTTCCCCTCCCCACAACAGACACCCTGTGAGGTGGGTGGGGCTGAGAGAGCTCTTGACAGGAACTGCTCTTTTTCAAGAACAGCTCTGACAGGACTAGGGCTTGCCCAAGGCCACCCAGCAACTGCAAGGGGAGAAGTGGGGAATCAAACCCAGTCCTCCCAGATTAGAGTCCGCACACTTAACCACTGGTATTTTGCAACAGAAGTTATGCTTTACTCCCGAGAAAGCCAGGAAGGTGGCGTTAATTCCTTCTTTCACAAAAGAAACATTCAGACCGGGTTTCCAATTCAGAGGATGATGCTCATTGGGATTGCAGGCCGGAGAAAGCAACAGGCTGTACTGAAAAATACAAGCCCAAGAGCAGAATATGGCCAAACGCCTCTGTGGGGGTTAGCCTGGAGAGCGTGCAAAAGAAAAAAAAGAACACTGCAAGGGCAGCCAGTTTAGGGGGGGGGGCAGAAAGAAGAGACCATGAACCCTGCTGGATCAGACAGGGGGGGCGGTATCCATCTAAGTCATAATAACAAAATAAACCCAGGCTGCTTGCAGGAAACATGGTCAAGTGGGTGGGGAAAGAAGCTCCCCGCACAGGTCCTTCCCGAGGAAGCCTCTCTCTGGATGCTCCCTCCAAGCCACCTCTTCCACCGCCACTCCCGTCCTTCACCCATATTTTCTCTCCCTTCCCCTGTACTTGACCAAGAGGACATGCTGAACAAACCCCTGCCTGCAGACGTGCAAAGTCGGCCTCAAGGGACGGGGAACGAGGAAGAAGAGCCGCTGCGGGACACCATCGCCTTCAGACTTCCTTCCCCTGGATGAAGAATAGCTTCCTTCAACACCTGGAAAGGGCAGGGTTGACTTCTCTGGAGCGCCCAAGGCATTCTGGGAAACGTAGTTCCCTGCCACCGCCAGACCCAGGAGAAAGGAGAGACATATTTGCGGAGAGAAGGTTTCATGGCTCTTCAGTTGGCCATGTGGGGGCAGCTTCCTTGTGTCGGCGCCGTGAGAGACCAGCTGGTGAAATCCTGGAAAACAAACAGAGGGTGATGGGGAAGAAAACCTTTAATAAAATAAGATAGAGCATAAATAAAAATAAACAGGGCATGTTTTCCTGTCCTGAAAACACACAAAAATGCTCTACACCTTACAATAGCGCTACAGATAAGATTAGAATGTCAACAGCCAATCCATATGCAAAAGAACCTCCTCAGGAAAGCTCCTCCAGTCGCATGTCACAGTCTGGGGAACTCCTACAAGATAATGACTCAGCCCTACCCCACCTTCCTGAGTAGATATAAATTATCTGCCTACCCTTTTCCCAGGCCTGTAGCTACAGTGGGGCCTCTCGAGGCTAGGCCCCCTGACTTACTGGCAAGGCCCCCTGACTTACTGGCAAGGCCCTCCCATGACTCCCCATCCAGCCCAGGGCCCCCAAGCAGTGGCAGGTGTGGGGAAGGAGCCAGGTATCAATTAGCCAGTCCCCCCTAAGAAATTTAAATGCCCCCCGACTTAAAAAATCCTGGATACGGGCCTGCCTTTTTCTTCTCACCTTGACACAGAGAGTACTCCATCTTTCCGTGTTATACCTCTGAGGATGCCAGTCACAGCTGCTGGCGAAAGGTCAGGTCCTACAATGCCAAAATCACGGCCATGCAGCCCGGAAAACCTACAATAACTAATGAACTTCGGCCATGAAAGCCTTCGACAATATATTAAAACCTTTTCTGTTCAAATCTTCAGGGCTGGGAACTCTGCTTTTCAAGGAATTAACGTATTAAAACGAACGTTTTTCCAAGAGAGGGCAGGAAAGATTCCCCATTGCTCTCCACTTCATGTGATGCGACCCTGAGGAAGGCCTTGCCTAAAAAGAGAGAGAGAGCTGGAGAGAACCTTTCCTTCCCAACTGAGCAGAAGGGGAGTGAGGGTCCTTTCTGCTCCTGCTGGGGAAACAGGAGAGGCAGAGCCAGGAAGGGCCTCTTCTTTGTGCTCTGAAGTGGGTATGTTATCCTAGAGAGGGAGATGCAGCTTGGAAGGAAATTTCTCAGTCCTTTTCACCCCCTCCCCATTCCCTGTGTTCCTTAGCAGAGCACAACTTATTTCCTCAGATAGCAAAATTGCTGTCCTGCTGCCCATGTCTACTCGAGCAAAACGGGCCAGGTCAGGATGACGCGTGAAGAAGGAGAAAAATAGAAGAGGCTGGATTTATACCCTACCCTCAGAGTCTAAGAGCGGCTTACAGTCTCCTTTCCTTTCCCTCCCCCTCCCCAGGACAGACACCCTGTGAGGTAGGTGGGGCTGAGAGAGCTCTCTCGAAAACTGCCCTTGGGAGAACAGCTCTGAAGAAATTTGTGACTGACCCAAGGTCACACCAGCAGCTGCATGTGGAGGAGTGGGGAATCAAACCCGGTTGTCCCAGATTAGAGTCCGTGCTCCTAACCACTACACCAAACTGGCATATATAATTCAGCAAGCAACAATATCCATAAGCAGCTATATCTTTCTATATATGTGTCTGCCTTAACTCCCTCTCCCACACTGCCAAGGCGTCCTCTGAGGTACCAGGCCTCACTTCTGCCCACGGGCAGTGTGGTACCTAAACTATTTGGAGCCTGGGGCGCGTGATTTTTTAACACCCCCTCCTGTATTTATTTATTTTGCCATTAAGTCACACCTTATAGTGACCCGATAGGGTTTTCAAGGCAAGAGATGTTCAGCCAGTCTGGGGCTATTTATTTATTTATCAGGGTCAGAGCTTGTCTTCTATACGACAAAATTATTTTCAGTAATAATAATTAAATAAAATAGATTCTGGCGGGCAGCCATGTTCGTCTGAAGCAGCAGAACAAAGTCTGCTCTTCAAGGTGCCACTGGACCAAAACTTTGTCTCCATGGCTAGAAAAGACACACAGAAAATGGAACATTTCTTTTATCTAACTTCGTATATATAATCGTGCCAGTAAAAAGGAATCAAATTCCAACATTCTATTCTGTCATGATTGCCAGCCTGGGCTTGTTGTGGGTTCAGGTGTCAGACAAGGATCTGGAAAATCCAGGTTCAAAACCCAACTCGTGCCAGGGAAGCTTGCTGGGTGACCTTGGGTCAGTCACATTGTTCTCAGCCTAGCCCTGACCTGGATAGTCCCAGGATAGCCTGATCGCGTCAGATCTCAGATGCTAAGCAGGGCCCTCGTGGAGGCAGGCAATGGCAAACCACCTCCAAAAGTCTCTTGCCTTGAAAACCCTACAGGGTCGCCATAAGTCAGCTGTGACTTGACGGGTGGAAATTCCATCACATCACTCGAGCTCTGTTCAGGCACTTGGGAGGACTCCATTTTGAAGCCCAAGAGCTGACCCTCCCAAACATCTACAAGGCATTTTTGAGACCTCGGAGTCTGCCTTTGTACTAACCAGGGCTTTTTTGGTAGGAAAAGCCCAGCATGAACTCATTAGCATAACAGGCCACACCCAACAGCAGAAACCTATTAGCATATTAGGCTGCGGGGAGCCCAGGCGAGTCGGTCCTTGGACAGGCTGGGGAAGTCATGGGGTAGCATTTAAATGTCTCCCTGATCCTTCCAAGGGCCCCCTGGCCCACCTGCCTCAGAGTCGCCAGGGGCGGTCGCTCTCCAGGCCTTCCCTCTGTAGCCATGCATGTGCAGAGGTTTTGGCTGTAGGCGTGGACGTGGCCAACTTGGAAGCCTGCTGGAACTCTGTTCCTGTGCTTTCCTGCTCAAAAATAGCCCTGGTATTAATGTTGATTAATACTAGCCAAAGCAACACAAGATCACATGCTTCGCCAGACTGGATGTTAAGAAACACACTAACCCCTAAAGAAGGTGCCCCTGTCCCCCATTGTTTCCAAAGGACTAAAGTCAAACCAGAGAATCTCTGTAGTAGAAACTGAAGGGGGGGGCATTTTTGCAAGCCCAGCAGAACAAGTGCAATCACCGAGTGCCCAACAGAACCCAGTGCCATTGTTGCAATGCCAGCTGATGTCAAGCACAGAATCGCAGCCCAAGCAGGGGTGGGGTGGGGGTGAAAGCCCAGCAGACCCAGTGCAATGTACAGTACCCAGCAAACCCAGTGCCATGTCTTCATAGTATTAGCAAAGGTTTGCTACTATGCTACTCTTAAATGCATTCTGTCACCAAACAGGATGGGGATGAGAAGGTCTTGAGACCAAGAAGTGAAAATAAAGGGGGAGGGGGACACACACACACAAAAATTAGGTGAAGGGAGACAGAAATGAATGAGAAATGTGTGGTAAAGAGGGAGAGAAATTAAGAGAAAGAAAGGTTGCTTTATCTTGCTGCCAACATCCTAACTACTGCTTTGTCAAATTTGTAAAATACTTCTTCTTTGGCAGGAGTGTTTTAAATTACAATATTAGTTATCAAATAACGGGTATTTATTTATTTATTTATTGCCCTGCCCCCAAAATGGACTCAGGGCGCCTGGTCTCTCATGCACTGGGGCTATCGTGGGAAGCCAGGCCACACAAACCTCTTTGCAAATACATCTGTCCTGTTCTTCCACCTGGGTCTGCTTATTTCAGGGAACTACACTTCCCAGAAAGCCTTGCGAGGACGAGAGACGTCAACCCTGCCTTTGAAGGCGGTGGTTCTTAATCGAGCTGGAGAAAGACATTTGGGGAATATGGAGGTCGGCAGGGCTCTTCTTCTTCCTTCTCCTCTCCGCCGGCTGGAGGGAGAATCTTGCTTTTGCAGGTCTGCAGGAAAGGTGAGTTTAGGATTTCCCCAAACAGGTCCAGGGCAAGAATAACGGAGGGGAAAGGACAAGAATCCACTGGCACCTTAAGGACTCTAAGTTTGTTCTACTCCTTCAGACCAACACGGCTTGACCACCTGGATCTATTTTCGTGGAGGGGAAAGAAAATACGTTTGAAGGGGGCTGACGGAGGAGCAGGAGAGAGGCTTCCCCGGGCAAGATTTGGGGGGAGGGCTTCTTTTCCCACCCACTTTGGCTGTGTTCCCTGCAACAATCCTGGGCTTATTTTATTATGAAAATTTAGACGGACCCCCAGGTCTGATCCAGCAGGGTTCATTGTAGAGTCTTCCTGTGGGCGCCTTATAGGGTTGCCGGGTCTGGGTTGGAAAATACCTGGAGACTTTGGGGGTGGAGCCAGGAGGGGGCGGAGTTTGGGGGAGGGGCCTCAGCATGGGACAATGCCACAGAGTCCACTCTTCAAAGCAGCCATTTTCTCCAGGGGAGCTGATCTCTGCCGGCTGGAGATCAGTTGTAAAAGCGGGAAATCCCCAGGCCCCACCTGGAGGCTGGCAACCGTACCCCCTTAGCTGGCTGCACTGGCAGTAGGGTTGCCAGGTCTGGGTTGGAAAATACCTGGAGACTTTGGGGGTGGATCCAGGAGAGGGCGGGGTTTGGGGAGGGGAGGGGCCTCAGCCTGGTCCAATGCCCTAGAGCCCACCCAAAGCAGCCATTTTCTCCAGGGGAGCTGATCTCTGCCGGCTGGAGATCAGTTGTCAAAGCGGGAGATCTCCAGGCCCCACCTGGAGGATGCCAACCCTAACTGGCAGTGTTATTTTTTTGCACCCTCCCCAGGCTAATCTGAGGCGTTTGGCTCTATTCTCCTCTGGTAATGGTGTTTTAAGTGTATACTGGTCCCAGTCACACGGCGAATTTGCCGTGGGAGAGCCACGGGTGGTGGGCGGATTATCAGGGCGCAATCACACCGCAACATCTGGCAAGTGGAGCGCGCCCGTGGCCAACCCGTGGCATACCGCCGAAAAAGCACAATAAAAAAACAGTACCTCAGATTTAGAGGCAAACGGTTTGCCACGGGCTGCCTCCGGACTCCTGCAGTGTGATCGCGCCGGCACGCTGCTGCATTTCCCTCTGGCCCCTTGTTAATGCGCAGGCGGGGAAGACAGGACCCGTGGTTTGATGCCAACATCGGATCGCGTTCTGGCGGCTCTAATTGCACCGGAGCAATTAGCCAAGCCTCCACCCTGCGTTATCCAGCCGGTGTGACCGGGGCCACTGTTGCTTTCTTTGGTGTTCAATCCCAGTGAGCATCGCCCTCAAGAAGACCTCTGAATTGGGAACTGGTCTGAAGCAACGTTCCCTCTAAGCTGAGTTAGTGTGAGCTAGCACACAGTTTTTTAGCCTCCAGCTCACACATTTTTGTCTTAGCTCAGGAAGGGTGGCTCCAGAGCAAACTGACTTATGCAGTAGCCAAATTGCCTGCTCACAACTTTAATGCCAGTAGCTCACAAAGTAGAATTTTTGGCTCACAAGACTCCACAGCTTAGAGGGAACATTGGTCTGAAGGTTTCTTTTGTGGAAGAGGGAATCAACTCCACCCTCTCGCTCTGTGCTTCTTCCACCTGCCTGGCTTCTCGGGAGTAAACCATCACTCCCACTGCAAAATACTGGAGGGATTTTCTGTTGTTAATCTGGATTGTTAATGTGTCCATTCCCTTCACTTTTGGCATCACAACTCCCACATCATAGCTTTCATTTTATTGTAGACTAATACTCCCCCCCACACACACACACTTTAGAAAGTTTTTTGCAAGGTGTTTATCTTTGCCTTAAACAGCTTCTATTCTATGAAATGCAAAATCTTTTGAGATGATGCACTAGGCATGGTGTGCATACTGCAGTAATTGAACAAGGCCTTAATATCTGGAAAGGTCTCTGAGGCGGCCTGTTGGTGCCGGAGGTTCTATGCCCTGTTTCTCTCGCCTGCCAAACCCTGAGGATCACACAGCCTGGAATGAGTAGGCCTGGGGTTTGTTAGGAAAAATATAGAACAAAATATATGATGAGCTTAATTAGGCCAGTTTGTTTTTACAGAGCTGGATGTAAGCCTTAGAATAACACAAAGTGCCTGATAGGCTGAGGCAAAACTAATTTCAGCTACTGCGCAAAACAGGATGTGGCAAAGTAGGCAAGATGTTCCACAACACAGTTGATTAAGCAGAAGTGTTACTTAAACACAGAGGAGTCGTTTTGTGAGGCCAAAGAGACAAAGGGCAAAAGAGATATTATGTGGGGACATTTCACTGAGAGGCAAACTCAGAGGTATGCTCCCACAGGGAGATTGGCAACTGTGTTCAAGGAACTGGTAAAAACATCTGCTGGTTTTTGCTGAGATCACCCTGAGGTGCTGATAAGAGAGGAAGAGCTGTCTGCACAACACATTCCTTTGAGTTTTCACTGTATGCTGTTTATGCTTGTCGCTTATAAAGCACTGCTGAGCTTCTCTGAAGGTCAGACAGCTTCTGCAGATATCTGTGTGGCGTGTGATTCTTGAACCCTGGAGACAACAATATTATGCTCGGCAAATGTACTTATATGGACATAAGGGAAGGTGGAAAGTCTATAATCTAACAGACATCTGTGCATGTCTAAAAGTTGTTTATTTATTACGTTGCATTAAAGGCTGATGTTGATGTTATTCTAGTGGATTCCTCAGGTTTTGCCGCCGAGGTCCCCTTTGTTTGAAGAAAGCGTTGTCTGCTACTGTAGTCTCGCTGGTTGTGTTCATCATTTGGGCGTTGGCACAGGAGGCAAGAAGCCCATGTGGCTAACATGTCTCTGCCAAGAAAAATGTTTAAAGTAGAAACTGCCTCTAGAATCACAGTGTCCATGTATGTGGGGTTAAATGTGCAAGATAGAATAGCAGACATGGAGAGCCAGTTTGGTGTAGTGGTTAAGTGCGTGGACTCTAATCTGGGAGAGCCGGGTTTGATTCCCCACTCCTCCACTTGCACCTGGCTGGACGACCTTGGGCAAGCCGTAGTTCTGATAAGAGCTGTCCTTGAAAAAGAGCAGTTTCCGTCAAGAGCTCTCTCAGCCCCACCTACATCACAGGATGTCTGTTGTGGGGAGGGGAAGGGAAAGGAGTTTGTAAGCCGCTCTGAAACTCCTTTGGGTAGTGAAGGGCCGGGTATAAATCCAATCTCTTCTTCTTCTTCTTCTTCTTTACAGTCAGTTAGGTTTTTTGGTTTTATCATTTACTTGGACATGATGACCAAGAGAAGCCCGGTTTTGTGCAATTTTCTGAACTTGTGTTTCTTAGAGACTTTCCATGTATTACAACTATCAGGGGCTTTAAAAAGTTAATGCAGTTTTCCTTGGCATCAATTTGATGTCTCACATGCTTTGGTGCCAGCGCCAGGGGTTAGGAGTTTGGGAGTGCTCCTGGATCCCGCCTTAACAATGGAGGCCACTGCCAGGTCGGCCTTTTATTATCTTTGGCTGATCAGGCAGTTGGTTCCCTTCCTCAACTGCAGTGACCTAGCTACGGTGATCCATGGGACGGTCCCCTCAAGACTAGACTAATGTAACGCTCTCTACATGGGGCTGCCCCTGTTGCAAATTCGGAAGCTGCAGCTAGTGCTTTTGATGGGCCTTCCCAGATGGGAGCACATCCAGCCTGTGCTGAAGGTGCTGCACTGGCTGCCAATAGCATACAGAATTTGCTTCAAGGTGCTGGTGCTTACCTTTAAAGGCCTATATGGCCAGGGTCCGACATACCTGAGGGACCTCCTTTCCCCATATATACCCCAAAGAGCACTGAGGTCGGGGTCCCAGAACTGACTGACTGTTCCGGGCCCCAAGGATACCAGGCTCGCCACCACTAGGGCCAGGGCTTTCTCGGTGGCGGCTCCGTACTGGTGGAACCAGTTCCCGGAGGAGATCACGGCCCTGCGGGATCTTGTGCAGTTCCGCAGGGCCTGCAAGACGGAGCTCTTCCACCAGGCTTTCAACTAGGAGCCGCCCCCACTACTACCAACGAGCCGGCCCGTAGCTTTAACATCTGGCCTCCACCACTGTGCTCGGGAAGACCATTGAGTGGCAAACTGTTTGGTTGCATTGTATTTCCAGCATGCCATCTTATGTACCCAATGTATCAGAACTAGCACTTTATGAGTTTATGTTTTACTGTGTTTGAAATTTTAAACTGTTTTTATGTGAATTAATGGTCATTATAAACCAATTATGTAAGCCGCTCTGAGCCTGCTCGCGGGGAGGGTGGGGTATAAATTAAATAAATAAATAAAATTTTAATCCATTGAGTGGGAAGTGGGGTCCTTTTTTTCCTCTGTGAAAGCTCAGGTAGAGGAACAGATGATCAAGTGGTCCATATTTTCCTCTTTCAGAGGTCCCCAGTGTCCTTTGAGGAGGTAGCTGTGTCCTTCACGGAGGAGGAATGGGCTCTGCTGGATCGAGGCCAAAGAAAAGTCTTCTGGGAAGTGATGGAGGAAAATTATGAGGCCGTGGCCTCTCTGTGTAAGGCTCTTTCCCCCTTTGATTATGAACATGGAAGAGAAGAGGGGGGCGTCTTCTTTTGGCTGTCTTGTATTTAGAAACACATTCCACATAGTTTCCTTTTTGTTCTCGTGGCATATGGCTTATCATTATTCATTATTATTTATTGTATGGCAGAGTTACACACAGGAAGCATATAGTAATATAAAATACATAACCTAGCTGATACAATGGGTATGCAGACTGATTGGGTAATCCCCCTAAATACTATTTTCAATCCACTCAAGAGCAGCTGGGGAGAGTTGAAAGAGCTCCATCACATCTCCCCGGAAAGCTCGACATTGTCGGGCTGCACCATGTTCACATTCAGGTCCAGGTGTTTTGCCCCATTTAAACAAAAGGCCTGCACAACTGCCAAAGCCTGTTCACAGAGGTCATTTCGGGGGGGATCGGGGGGATCGCAGTTCCCCCAGGTGAGGTACGAGGGGCGGGGCACATGACAAAGCCCCGCCCCCTGCTTCCGGCTGCCCCGCTTCCGGCCCACATTCAGCCAGGAGGAGGCAGGAGAAGAGGGAGGGTAAGTTGCTTCCTCCCTGCCTCTCCCCACCCCTGCCTGCCTGGGCCCAGGGAGGGCCTTGGCGGGGCTTCCTCGCACTCCTGCCAGCCTTGCAGGTCCACCGCCGGGCCCCTCATGGGGCTCAGCAGTGGAGCTGCAAGGCCGGCGCCGGCGGCCGGGACCGTTGGGGGCGGGGTGTGTGGCCTTATGACACACTTCCGGTGACTTCAGGGGGTGTGGCATATGCTAATGAATTATGCTAATGAGTTCCCCTAGCTCTTTTTCTACGAAACGACCCCTGCCTGTTCGTATTCTATTGGCCATCTTCCATACTTTAATTACATGGCAAGCCAAATCCTGCGGGCCGCTCATAGGTGTTCATCAGGTTATGGATATCGGTGGAACTGATTGCATCCAAGTTTGCAACCATTCATTCCCTAGATCAAAATATTGTGATTGCAGGATTTGTGCAGATCGTATTGCTGGGTGTCGGGATCTTAGTCTGAATAGGCCTGCGTCAGCCATGGTATAAGGCTTCCCCTCAGTGACAAGGTGTTCTTTTTTTCTTTTTCTTTCTTTTTTTTTTTTTGGGTAAATTTTATTTTCATTTTCCATAGTATACATCCACTTACATATTTCTCCTTATATACACTGGAGTCTAAAGTTCCCACCTCAAATTAATCCAATCATACAAATGCATCCATCTTTCCACAAAAATATTATCCTCCTTCCCTTGGAGAATTAAACTTAATTTGTCCATCGCCATTTCCAACAGTTTACATGCTGTTTCCTCTCGTGCGGGAAGAGGTTCTTGTTTCCAATATTTAGCAAGCAAAAGTCTAGCACTTGTAAGTATATAAATTATCATATATTTATCTTTCCATTTGTAACTTTCCGGTATCATATTTAACAGAACAATTTCAGGTAACAAATCAATTTTGATATTTGTAATTTCCATAATAATATTTTGTATCATCTTCCAATATCTACACACCTTTTCACAATGCCACCACATGTGAAAAAAGGTTCCGTCACTTGTTTTACATTTCCAGCAATTTTTCGATAACAATGAATTACATTTAGCTATTTTGTCTGGTGACCAGTACCACCGATGGAACACTTTATAGATGTTTTCTTTGTAATTAATACTTCTCATATACTTTACTGATTTCCATGTATTTGCCCATTTATCTATGTCTATATTGTAACCTATATCCTTCAACCAAGTTATCCTTGTTGGACCAACTGTATCTTCTAGCATAAGTTCTGCTAACAAAAGTCTATATATTTTCTGTATCATTTTATCACTTGTTGATAGCCAGATCTTATCCAATTGTGTCTTAGTTTCCTCAAATCCTATTTTCACATCTTTAGAATATCTAGATTGTAATTGCATTGTTTCCCATCAGGTTAATTTAATATTATAAAGGGATAATAGACTCTCCTTAGATTTTAGATTATTATTCTTGTCTAATAGAGTATCATAACTTTCTCTATCACATGCATTGATAAGGGAGGGTATAATAAATGCTTCCAGTGGGGATACCCATCTCGGTATCTTAGTGTAATATCTTTCTTTAATCTCATTCCATATCCGCACTAGAGCTCCTGTTATAATATAATGTCTGAAATTATAATGAATTTTATCCTTCCCTCACCACACATATGCGTGCCATCCCATGTTTAGATCATGTCCTTCCAGTTTTAAGTTTCTAATATTTTCAAAGCAGATCCAATCCTTTAGCCAATTTAGAGCTGCTGCCTGGTAGTATAATTTCCAATTTGGTAACCCAAACCCTCCCCTTTCTTTCCTATTTTCTAAAGTTCTCCATTTAATTCTTGCCCGTTTGGAGTACCAAATAATTTTTTTAAATGATTTTATCCATATCCATAAAGGATTGTGAGTTTTTTAAAATAGGTATATTTTGAGCTTAAAAAAGGAATTTTGGCAATATATTCATTTTAATGGTCGCTATTCTACCCATTAGAGATAGCTGACTGTCTTTCCAACGTTGTAAATCTTTTCTAATTTCTTCCAGTAACTTATAGTAATTATCTTCTATGAGACTACTATTTTTGTTAGATAATATTATTCCTAAGTATTTTTTTTTACTATCTCAACTTATGTTAATGTTTGGATTTCTTGTGTCATAGAAGGTGTACAATTCTTTGTTATTATTTTTGTTTTTTTCAAATTAATTTTTAAGCCCACCATATCACCATATTCTTGTAGTGTTTCCATTAAGTGAGTGATTGTCAGTAGTAGGTCTTCTATTATGAAAACAATGTCATCTGCATAGGCCAATAGCTTAAATTCCTCTCCTTTCGCCCTAAGGCCTTGTATTTGCGGGTTTCCTCTTACAGTATCATTTAATGTTTCAAGTGCGAAGATGAATAATAGAGGAGATCGAGGGCATCCCTGCCGTGTGCCTTTCTGGATCTCAATGTCTAATGTCGTATCTCCATTGATAAAGTGAGAAGGTGTTCTTAGGGTAGTGAGTGGAAAGGCTTTGGGTCAGTGCTGTGAGGTCAGTCTTGTCTTGAGCCTGAAGAGGACAGAGGTCACTGAAGCAGTGGGTTTCATAAAACAAGGAAGAAGATTTATTATTCATACACACACAGGAGGCTGCCCCACAAAGCGACAAATGAGTAAAGAAACCTCCTATTCCATTACAGGAGGCTGCCCCACAAATGAGTAAAGAAACCTCCTATTCCATGTTACCTAATAGTTTTTAAATTTCCTTTGGGTGTTGCTGTTACAGGGGACTACATTTCCCAGAAGGACTTGCGAGCACCAGAGAGGTCAACCCAGCATTTTCTAGGTGTCGAGGGAGTGTTTTTTCCTCGAAGTGGAGAAGGAAATGTATGGGATATGCAGTCCCACGGCGCCTCTCCTCTTTCTTGTTTCCCCCGGCTGGAGGGAGATTTTGGCTTTTGCATGTCTGCAGGAAAGGTGAGTTTAGGGTTTCACCAGCAGCTCCTGGGCAAGAATAGGGGAGGGAGAGAAAATATGTGTGGACGGGAGTGGAGGAGGAAGAGCTGGCCGGAGGGAGCATCGGGAGGGAAGCTTCCCTGCAGAGTGGTTGTGGGTGGGGTACTTGTGTTTTCACCCACGTGAATGTGTTTTCACCAACCATCCTGGGTTAAGAACATAAGAGACGCCAATGTTGGATCAGGCCAAAGGCCCATCCAGTCCAACACTCTGTGTCACACAGTGGCCAGAAATACCAGTGCCATCAGGAGGTCCACCAGTGGGGCCAGGACACTAGGAGCCCTCCCACTGTTGACCCCCCCCCCAAGCACCAAGAAGACAGAGCATCACTTGCCCCAGAGCCCCGATCTATACCTTGTGGCTAATAGCCACTGATAAGAACATCCATCCAGGATTTCTGTATTTTTGTCAGCTAGTTGGACCCCCAGGACTGATCCAGGGCAGTTCTTTGTCTGTTCTTACTAGCCCCTGTAGGTTGCTGCACTCGCAGTTTTGTTTTTGGCATTCTCCATGGCCTGACCCCCAAAGATGCAATTGGCCATATTTTGCTGCTATGACGGAAGAATTTCAGGAGTGAGAGGCCCAGTTCTTTACAATGGTCTGAGTTTATATTTCTTGGAGAGCTTCAGTATATTATACCTGTCAGAGGCTGAAAAAGAAACAAATGCCATTTTCATTGTCATCAGTTTGACCTGTATCACGCTTTAATCCGTTGACTGGCCAATGGGATTCTACTTCCTTTTTTGAGTAGTCGGGGACTAGAATAGATGAACAACTGGGCCATATTTTCCTCTTTCAGAGACCCCCGGTGTCCTTTGAGGAGGTAGCCGTGTTCTTCACAGTGGAGGAATGGGCTCTCCTGGATGCAGGCCAGAGAAAAATCTACTGGGATGTCACAGAAGAAAATCTCGAGACCGTGGTCTCTCTGGGTAAGGATCTTTTCCCTTCTGTAATTTTCATGGAAGAGAAGGTGGCGTCTTCCTTTGACCCTCATGGATTTCAGGGCGCACGTTCATTTGCTACAGAGAAAAGAATGGAGCTCCCACACTTGGGGACCTTAGAGCCCCTGAGAAAGAATGCATAAAGTACTTTCATGCTGTAAAGAGAAATCAGTTGATGGAGAGGGCTCTGATCGGGAGAGGGGAACAATATCCAGTTAGGTTCCTGCTAGGAAATCCCTGCGGCACATCTTTTCTTCCTTGGCCTTTCTATTTGACACGGTGTCCTTTCTTTTGAGTGAGTGAGGCTGATGGGAGGAGAGGAGGAAAGGTATCGTTGATTTGATCAGACCAGAGGGGGGTCCCTTGCTCAGTGGCAAAGTTTGTGATCTGTGTCTCGAAAGTCCGTGGTTCACTCCACGGCCCTTGACCCAAAGGGGTTTAGGCCCCCTGACTTCCTTCCAAGGCCCCACGAGTTTCCCTGCATCCCAGGGCCCCCAACACCCTGGGCCCCCCAGAATACTCCCCTCCCACTGCTGCCACCCCTTCCCCAAGTGGGGCTTGTCTCTGCCTGTCAGCAGCCCCGCCGGCACCATCCCGGGCTGGTGGTTCGGGGGGAGGGGTCCTGTGGGTCCTGAGCTGGCGGCAGCTGTGCTCACCTTGACTGGCTGGCAGCTCTCTGAGTGGGCGAGCGCACCGGCGTGTTCCTCCATCGCCTTGCCTTGCCTTGCCGCCTGGCTTTCCTACCCGGCCCCTGTAAAAGGGAGAGCAGCAGGTGGTTGGTGCACTGCATGCCAGTAGGGGAGGCTGGGCTTGCAGCCGGCTGACCAGGAGAAAGAAGAAAAGGCGGCCGCTGCAGGTGAGGAGACACCGCCTGCTCTCCCAGCATGCCTGCCAGATTTCAGCCACCTTCCGTCTCCGGGGAAGGCGTCCGCCCTGCCTGCCTGCTGGCGGAGCGCCGGGCAAGAGAGCCATAGGAGGACCCTGACCCCAGCTGGCTAGGGGCGCATTGGGAAGTGTAGGTTTGAGGGTTCAGTAATGACACAACACACAGAGATCTGTTGAAGCTCTCTGACCAAGTTCTCAAGCTGTCTCTCTGTCCCAAGCTGTTCCATAGTACTGGATGTCAGTAGCGTTTTATTAGGCTCACTTGTTTCTCCCCTCCTCTGCCCTGTACAGTGGAAACGTTACAAGAGGAAAGACTCTAAGCTAAGATCACAGTATGTTCTTAACAGAATGTTCTTTACGCTGAAACTCTCCTATCTTGCCCACTGTAGCTAAGTTTATTTTCTCAGCAAACTCATGCAGACTCAGCAGACCTTGTGCACTGCTTGCCAATCCCCCGGTGAAAACTGGAACTCCCGGGCATGCCTCACAGGAGTTTTTCATTTCCACAGGGAAGCTTCCCTTTGGAATTAGGAAACGAGTGAGTCAGCAGGGGGGAGGGGTCCAAGGTGGGGAAACTTTAACTTTAATCAACTTGGTCCCCCCCCCCAAGAAATTTAAATCCCCCCCCCAAAAAAAGGAAATTCTGGCTACGGGCCTGGAGCTTAGAGGGAAGAATCTCCAGGTTTGGGGCCCTCTCAAGTCACCACCCCTTGGAGTGGAATTGGCTGGGTTTCATGGCAAGTTGCAGGCACAATCTTGGTGGAGGAGAACGTGAGCGTCCACATGAGGAAGGTGGTGGGCAGAGGATGAGAAGCCAGGCGAGAGACTCGGTAGCCGCCTTCCAGGCGACGAGAGGGGATTCGGGAGGCAGAAGGGCTTCTCCTCCTGACCCTCTGCCCTTCCTTGGCCAGTTCAGAGCAGGTCCCAGTGGGAGCCATGCCAGGCATGGACCACGCCCACGTCCTCTTTACCACATCGTCTTTAACATAAAATAATCTGAGAAAATTATTGAAGACAAGACAAATTGCGGAGGGGGGTGTCTCTTCTCCCTATTCTGCAGTTCAGGGAAAATCTCTCTGGAAGTTTGGAAGATCAAGGAGGTGAACTGAGGCCTCCTTTGCCACCCCAACAGAAACTCTTCTGTCTTTCTTCCCCTGGGAAAACAAACTGGGGTTTCTGCCTATAATGTAGTGGAGTTCCAGGCGTGGCATCGTGACATCAGCTCGAGTTGATTGGTTACATCAGAACTAAGGATACACCGGCCGGTCCGAGGCCGGCTTATATGCGTGAACACACTCACACCCAACACTCCCCCCCAATTCCTTAATAAGCTGTGTTTACAAGACCCAGTCTATGATAGGTCTATATCAGGATCCAGGCGACCTTATTGGTGCGCACTAGGATTCACAGTGGCCCAGATCAGCTCCCCAGGAGAAAATGGCCCCTCTTGAGGGTGACTCTACAGCACGACACCCTGCTGAGGCCCCCCCTCCCTGTACCCTTCCCTCCCCAGGGGCCACCACCAAATCTCCAGGAATGTCCCAGGCCAATATTTAAAGACTAGCTCTGCCTCCCGAGAAAAGATTTGTTGCAACGTGGGACAAAGCAACATCCTCAGAGATTATCCTTTCCTGGCAAACGGTAGTCAAAATTAGATGTATAACAAATATCACACTCCCCTTTCTTCACTGTGAGGACCCAAAGTGGCTTGTGTTGTCCTTTTCTCCATTTTATCCTCACAACAACCCTGTGGGAAAAGCCAGCAACTTTTAGTGCAAAAGTGGGGGGGGATCTGAACCTGGAACTCCTAGATCCGAATCAGGCACTCTGCCCACTAAACCTAACTGCCTCTGATAGCAAAGGGACATTCTTCACACACATACAAACATCCTCCCTTGTTTTAAAGGAGGGGATATTTTCTACCGTCTCTGCCAAATCTCCAGGAATGTCCCAGGCCAATATTTAAAGACTAGCTCTGCCTCCCGAGAAAAGATTTGTTGCAACGTGGGACAAAGCAACATCCTCAGAGATTATCCTTTCCTGGCAAACGGTAGTCAAAATTAGATGTATAACAAATATCACACTCCCCTTTCTTCACTGTGAGGACCCAAAGTGGCTTGTGTTGTCCTTTTCTCCATTTTATCCTCACAACAACCCTGTGGGAAAAGCCAGCAACTTTTAGTGCAAAAGTGGGGGGATCTGAACCTGGAACTCCTAGATCCGAGTCAGGCACTCTGCCCACTACACCTAACTGCCTCTGATAGCAAAGGGACATTCTTCACACACATACAAACCTCCTCCCTTGTTTTAAAGGAGGGGATATTTTCTACCCTCTCTGTGCAGGTTTATTGGAACACAAAGCAGTTTCTGCCCCCCCCCCCCGCACTGCTCCTCTACGAAAAAAAATTCTCCTCACAACGACCATCTGAGTTAGGGCTGACTGAGAGGGTGTGACTGGCCCCAGGTCGCCCAGGAAGCGTCCGTGGAGGAGTTCTGGGTATTTAAAGCCATGTCTCTTAGATCCTGGTCGGACACTCTCACTACTACACCACACTGCATCTGGCAGCTCAGGTAACGTTTTAAAGCCCATTAAGTCTTTTAGATGGGAGATATTTTCGACCCTTCCTGTCTGTGCTGTGGCCCTTTCCTGTCTTCTCATGAGGAAACCTTTGCTTCCATTGGAAGTAGCAGACGCAGGGCTTTTCCCCCCCTAGGAACGCACCGGAATGGAGTTCCGGAACCTCTTTGGCAAAATTCTTTTTAAAATGTTTAAAACGTCATGAGTTTTCAGTATACAGATTGAAAACGTCATTTGCCCCTTGAGAGTTCCAGCAGCTCTTTAAAAAAAACAACCCAACTCTGAGTAGGGGAATGTCATCATAAAGCCAATTTGTGCCAAAATGGTTCAATTGCCTTCATTTTGGGCACTGCAAATTCCACCGTCATCCTGAAGTTAGTGGCCAATATTGAGGCGCCCAGCTTTATTTTTCACGAATGATGCCTTTCACCGTCGACTTTAGCTTACGATGCAACGAGCACGTGGGGGTGGGGTTTGAATGTTCCAGTGTGTTCCTTCCATGTTTGGCACAGTTCTGGGTGGCACCTCATTTCCCACTGTATCCCCTATCCAGTGTTCCCTCTAAGCTGAGTTAGTGTGAGCTAGCTCACAAGTTTTTAGCCTCTGGCTCACACATTTTTTGTCCTAGCTCAGGAAGGAAGGCTCCACAGCAAACTAATTGATGCAGTAGCCAAATGGCTCGCTCACAACTTTAATGCCAGGAGCTCACAATGCGGAATTTTTGCTTACAAGACTCCATGGCTTAGAGGGAACATTGCCCCTATCCCATTTTTCCTGGCAACCCCCATATCCTCATGTTTCTCTGTCTCCTTCCCTCATTCTCACCCTGGATGTAGAAGAACGTCTTCAAGGCTAGTAATACTAGGTCGATGTTCTGTTTAAGATATTGAACGTGTTTGGACCATGATACGTCTGGCTGGAGTACAATTCCTAGATATCTAAATTCATTGACCTCGTCATTTGTACATTCCGATTTTTCCATCTTTCGTTAGATCTTCTTGTTGACTTGGTAAACACCATAATTTTGGGTTCATCTTCACTTATCTCCAATGGCTCGTCGTTGCAATAGGCAATAAATGCTTTAATGGCTTGTTTTAGGCCAATCTGAGTTTGTGATAGTAGGACAATGTTATCAGTATGTAGTAGGGCAGGCACCGGTCAGTTTCCCAAACATGGTGTGATATTTTGTAGACCTGGGACAAAGTCATTTAAATATAAATTGAATAGATGTGGTGCAAGAATATATCCTTGATGAACACCTCTTTGGATAGGTATAGCCTAGGGTTTGGTACGTGTCCTTTGTTGTTCAGTTTGACACACAGTGAGTTTTCAGAATAAAGATTCATTCATAACTTTAACAATCTTTTAAGCGGGCGTGTAGCATTTAGTTTGTTCCATGGGCTCCTGCAGTTTGCTGTAGTGGTTAAGTGCATGGACTCTATTCTGGGAGAACCGGGTTTGATTCCCCACTCCTCCACTTGCAGCTGCTGGATGACCTTGGGCAAGCCATA